GCCTACAAGAAAATTTGTTTCCTGCTCCACTCTGGTTCTACTAATGCCATTTCCACAGCTCATTTTAGCATTGCCTCCCCATCGCTCTACACATACACTAAGAGGTTTATAAAAATAAATTGGAACTGACTACCCAAAATTAAAAGTATGTTAAAATCCATCAAACGTGCATCTACACCAATGGAAACAGAGGGACCAACCTAGAAGAATCAGTGCCCGCCACAATGCAAGGGGAAGCTGTAACTATTGCATCGTGGTTGATATTTATTCCTAAACGACCATTTCACAATTTGTGGCTGAAGACACAGAGCATGTTTCAAAGCAATACTGCAAGATACACAAAGCCTTCACGCAGAGCAACTGATGGCAGAAATAAATATCAATCAGCAAAGAGCAATGTGATATCTGAAGGCAAAAAAAAAAAAAGAATCAAATCTTTTCATCTTACTGACAAGCAACTTCAGCAGCTCTGCTTCCAGCCCTCGATTTTCCTCAACAAACGAAGAGTTAAAGCCAGAAAATTCACATCTGTCCCAGTCACTACAAAGATGGCATTTACATCATTCCACCATACATTATCCTACGGTCGTCAACCAGGGCTCCCCCCCTCCCAAAGCTCCCAGCCCCGTTCAAAGGACGTCAGACACCGCAGGCGTTAATCTCAGCTTTTCCACCGCAGTCGCGACCAACACCTCTGAGAGCTCTCAAGCTCCACTGGACAGAGGCTCTGAACAGCAGAGGCGCAACCTTCACTGTAACTGAAGCTACCCAAAAAACCCGGGCATGAACGCGCACTGCAGACCGAAGAGGTGGAAACCCAGCTCGCCAAAAATGGTCTTTGGAAGAGATAACTCACAGTTCTGGGGATGGGTGGCGACAGAGATCCATTAGGCATGTACGGGTCGTTATTCATATTTGGCATCATGATATACCCAGAATAACCAGAGTATGATGGTCCCTTGCTGTATAAGCCACTGTCTGGATGCTTTCCTATGGAAGAGGAAACAATGATTACATTATTCCCCACATACGCATTTCTTGTGAGTTACTTAAACAGGTACTGTGCATTCATAAAAATGTTTTGCATGCAAACGTTCCCTGACTCATGGATATCACCTCCGACAGAAAGTGGTCCACAGCAATTTGTAATAACCTTTTTTTTAAGATGACTTAATGCTTAAGGGAGCAAGCGCTCTCAGTTTTATGCTTAAAATATGGAATAGGCTCAGAGTAACCAATTTATTTTGCTAGCCCCTATTCAAATCAAGGCAGAAACATCACCAATGACATCACATTTCTTAAGTAGCAGTTTTCCCTCATTTTATACATCCCTCTAGGATTTGTGGATTCAGAAGTATCGCCAGTACGGGTTTCCAACATCACAGTTAGGAAAGGGAGGAACGGGGCAGTGATAACCATAGATATAATCATTTCCTTCTCTTGCTGAGCCACTGTGTGCAGCGAACAATTCATTCTGGCCACGCTCACCGGGAACAATTAGAGGGCAGGGACTGGCTTGGAAGGAGACCCTAACGAATTGGGGAGGTGGCGGGGGGGGAGCTGTTGAACACACATGGCACTACAGCCAAGAGGGAAGCCAAGCGAGGGAGGCTTTTTTGTAGGAAAACAAAGAATTTGGGTCCAGTTCCTGCAAAATGGGGGGGGGTGTGTGAGCAGGTCTCCCACCTCCATGACCATTGACAGCGATACGACTCGAAGGTGAGGTTTTAAGAGGATGCAAGGCTGAAAAGAAAACTATACAGAGCTGACCTCCCCCCCTCATTGCCAAAATGCTACGGGCATGGACGTTATTGCTTTTAGGCTGTTTAATGACCAATTTGGAGAAAGATCACCACAGAGTCCCAAAAAGCACCTGGGCTGAACTGTGTCTGTCTTTATATGGAATTTATGATCTGGTTTAGTTCCTGATGATAAGCATTTCATTTGAAACGTAACCTCCCATCCTTCACAGCAGACATTCTTTGTACGCGTGTCCAGCTTCCTAAGTGATATTCAACGAACTCTGTTCTTTCCTCTGCCCTCCTCAATCAAAATTAACCAGCTGGTACATTAAAAAAAAAAAAAAAAAAAAACCAAGAGGTCTGTTCCTGCTTAGATTTGCAAGAGGAGATTTAAGCGACAGACTTTCGCTATGGGGAAAAAAGCAGAGAGTTTCTGAATACACACAACTGGGCTGCACTGCACGAGTGAAGAGATAGATGTGTTTAAGCTGATATCCTAAAAATAGTTGTTTCTTCAGTGAAGATCCATTTGGCCTACTTATCAGTTTCTAAACAACTGAAATACCATTTGGTCACTCAAGATAAACATGCTGCACATTCATCTCTTCTTTAAATGTGCTTTGAAAGCACCCTGGCATCCCCCTTCCCCAAAGGGTACTGAATTTATGTTTCCCAAAAGAAACCAAGCTCCAGTTTGAGGACCGTGCGGAGGCTCACAGGGGGACTAAAGAGGGACAATATCGCAAGACAGGACCGTGCGCTTCTCACCTTCCTCAGGGTGCTCTCTGCCTTTATCATGGTAGGAATCCTGCGCTTGAGTCTGCCTGGAAACCTGACCGCAGGGAATCCACCATCAGAAAAGAAGAAGAAAAAGAAGAAAAGTCATTGAACGGATGCTCATTTATCGATTACAGCGCTACAGCTTCCCGTAGAAAGAAAAAAGTTAGGGCCCTATATTTAATAGAAGGGTCTTATTCCTGGAAAATGTTTGGAGCTTCAACGGTCAAAAGGCTCTTGGTGAAAGGATACCAAAAATAATAATGAAAATCAGGTTGCCCTCATTGCCAGATCTTTAGGAAAAAAAGAAAAAAAAACAACCAAAAAAGAAAGGAAAATAAAGAGAGAGAGAGAGAGAAAAAAAAGCAGGTTCCCCGCTCACCCTGAAGTTGTTTTAGCGTCGGGAAATTCTTCCCAAACAGTTTTATGCAAATCCCTTAAAGAGTTTGCGGATAATGCTCCGACCCCGCTGATTTTAGCGAGGAAATTTCATGGCTGCCCGAGGTCCAACACCACCGCTCCGTCGGGGGACTCGCGGGAACTTTCTCGTCCCGGGCCGAAGCGCGGAGGGG